GCATTGTTCATATACTTTATTTATTACCTGGAGATGACTTGACAAACACAAATAAACCATATATTGTCGCAATCGTATGTTTAATGTCTTCATGTTTCCAAACGTTTCTGTTTTCTGTGAAAACAATACAGCGATAGCTGGACGCTTTTGTCCATATTAGGAATTTCCTCGTACGACTTTCTGCGCGGGAGCGCCCTCCGGCTTCGGGTATGAATGAAACATACACTGCACGGAGTATTTAGCGCTCCGCGATGTTCATCTCGCCTTATTCTGGGTCCGAATAAAACATCAGATCATGCACAGACTATCCTGTCTCTTTGAATTTAAATCTATATTTATTCACACCGGCTCTTGAAAACCTCTATGCGAACACACTTGCCCGAAAAAGTGCGGGGGACGAATTTACGTGATATTAAAAGAGGGGGGGACACGTCCCCCGCATGATCTACGCCCCTGCTCCAACTAAAGAAACATATTTTGCAACCACAGATTTCATGCATTCACACAGATTGCATGCTTGGGTTCAAAAACAGCTGGACTGGGCACAACAAAATGGAATGGAATGCAAGGATCTTGGATCTCATGTTTAAAAAAAATTACAGAACTATTTTTAACTTGATACGTTCATGATGCTGAAAACAAGCTTTGCTTTTTTTACTTAGAGCAACACTCAAAAATAGCACAGACTGAAGAAGTCACAGTTTATGCATAATAATGGGAACATTACTTAGAACAGTCGTTTTGAGGTCTGGCAGTAATTGTAATTTATTATTGTTGAAAGCTATGTAATTGTTACAAAAGCAGTGTTGGCTGTGGCAGTGCTGCTTAAAAGGGGATGAATATAAAAAGACTGAAATAGTTTACCGTGCCAAATGCTATCAGCACCCACAGATTTCATGCATTCACACAGATTGCATGCTTGGGTTCAAAAACAGCTGGACTGGGCACAACAAAATGGAATGGAATGCAAGGATCTTGGATCTCATGTTTAAAAAAAATTACAGAACTATTTTTAACTTGATACGTTCATGATGCTGAAAACAAGCTTTGCTTTTTTTACTTAGAGCAACACTCAAAAATAGCACAGACTGAAGAAGTCACAGTTTATGCATAATAATGGGAACATTACTTAGAATTATTACTTAGCAGTAATTGTAATTTATTATTGTTGAAAGCTATGTAATTGTTACAAAAGCAGTGTTGGCTGTGGCAGTGCTGCTTAAAAGGGGATGAATATAAAAAGACTGAAATAGTTTACCGTGCCAAATGCTATCAGCACACTAGACAGCTCTGAGAAGTTGTCTCTTTATTCATGCCCTTTGAAACAATGCTGCTAAAAATATTAACTACAAAAATCAAAATATATTTAGATCTCAAACCCCTAAATTACTTCTTGGATGAAATACCCCATATGCTGTTGATGGCTACAATTTATACTTGTCCATAAACTTGTCTATATTATCATACCCACAACACGAATGTGTTTTTATTAATACATTATATATTAAAGATTACAGTTCTGTATCCTGTTTTGATTTCATTCTAATTTCAATTTTGAATGGCACACAACACTTAATACACAACATTCATTTCAAAAGCATTAAAAAAAAGTCAGATTATGAGACTGCTGTCACCAAATTTATATTTGTTAATCCTGAGATGGCATTATAGTGACATGCTGTATATTATGACTATCCAAGTCCCTTTAAACGTAATAAGTAAACCACTAATGAACCCAGTACAAGCCAGCATTCTGAAATATTACTCCTAAGAATGAACCAAACGCCCTTGACATAGGCACCTGACATTTAGACCAGCCGCCCCATTTGCCAAACCCAACACAAAGGCCTGAAATGAGAAACAGTGGCTCGGTGAAGTTAAATATTAGCTATTTAAATGAGTCTTTTGTAGTGCAAACCTCTTGCCATTTCTCTTCAGTAAAAGTGCACATTAACCGATCGCCCTTTCCTTTCATCTGCTTACAAACCATATTCATAGCATTCATTTTATCTCATGTATTCTTATGATCTAAATTGCTTTTGAAATCATGCACCGCACAGGCCTAAAAATGACTGCAATGAAAGCAGGGTTGTTGAATGTCACCTTTAAAAAGTAGAAAAGTGCACAAATGATGATTCGAATCATACAACAAAAGGGAAAACTTAACTCATAAATGCAGACGTTAAAGGAATAGTTCACCCGAAAAAGAAAGATGATATTTTGAAAAAAGTTGTAAATGTCCATAAAATTGAAGCCAATTGGGTTCACAACAAGACAATGAGGGCGAGTAAATGATGACAGAACTGCCAAAGTAAAAACATAAATCTGGTCATAGATTGCACTTCACTTCATTTTTTTTTTTTTTTATCCTAATGCTCACATAAAGCGGGTTTCATGTTTTCAAGTAACCGGAACCAGAAACTAAGTGATTATGCATTACACCACCTTGTTATGATGCTGTACACAGCTGTGTCACTGGATATGATTCCAACAGACAGGTTTTACAGGTAATCAGCTTTTTACAGTACGTCCATGAATAGCAAAACACACGCTGCAACAATGGGAGAAGTGGCGATCTATCTGTAAGCGGCTATATAAACAAAATTATTTTTGGCAGCATCATCGTCATAGTTGTGCACTCCAGATCACAGTCGAGAAAAAAGGTCTAGGCTTGCAGCTAAACAGGCCAAGTGAGCTCTCCAAATGCAGGTTACTGCTTGGGCATGAATAAGACAAAACCAGACTAATACATTCAGCTACAAAAGACAGCTATCATCATCACATCAACCTCTGCCTGACCCCCAAGATCTTTCACGGGGGCAATAAATCTGATTTGAGAGAAGAGCAGCAACAACAGGCAAGCCAACGTTACTTGATTACGACCAAGATCCCGCCAGGAGGGCAAATTATTTCTATGTTGCCTGCAAACCACGCACAGACCTTCCAGCCAACAGTCATGTAATGTAATTAAGGCACTGAGAGGCTGAGCTCAGTGATTAAGCAATCAATTACAGCACAAGTTCTTCCTCCCCTTGCCAGCAACATGACTCACTGCCACTGGGTAGAAAAAAAATTTCCAGACCTCTTCCTCTTTCTAAGAACCTGATATTACAGTATTTCATCCAAACTAGGGATGTGAAAAACTATATATTTTTAGTTTAGGGTTACATGAAGGTCTTAAAGAAGTTCAAAGAAAAATTTAAATTCTGTCATCATTTAGTCACCCTCATGTTCCTGTCATCCTCATGTTGTGTCCACAAGGTTTTTTCTTTTCTTTTTTTTTTCATGTCCATACAATGAAAGTCAGCTCTGAAAATCAACAAAGTTTTAAAGATTATTGGAGTATGTTTTACAAGAATATACAATTTCATCTTTCTTACTTCAAAATTTCACATTTAATTAAATGTGTTAATTGTTATTTCTTTGAAATTGTGAGTGAAACTGTTTCAAAGTATATAGGGTTTCAATGTTTCTTTTGTGTTGCATAAAAGAAAGAAAGTCATACAGGTTTAAAATCAAATTAGGTTGAGTAAATGATTGCAGAATTTTCATTTCATGTTAAATGATTGCAGAATTTTCAACTTGGGGTTCAAGCGACACGGTCAGATTCATTTCCTAGGCCACCATTTCAATGTCTGCAATCTTCAGATACAACTGTCGCAATTCTAGTCACACAAGTTGGGATATTTTAACATAAAATACAGCTTAAGGGGTTGTTTACATGAGGCATGTTCTTCCATTCAAAAACAGCTAGATGGAGTGAAACCGAATAGGTCTTGAGAAGTTTAGAAGTTGAACTATATATGCCATCTCAAAACCCCCCAAAAATATCAACAGCCGATCTGAATTCATATAGCAGTGATGCTTTAAACAGGATTAACTTAAAGGGGTCATATGGTGCTTTTTTAAAGATCATTATTTTGTGTATTTGGTGTAACAGAATATGTTGACATGCTTTAATGTTCAAAAAACACATTATTTTTCAAATACTGTACATTATTGTAGGTCCTCTATGCCCCGCCTCTCTCAAACGCTTCGTTTTCTACAAAGTCCCTCCTTCCGACAAGCGCAGTCTGCTCTGATTGGCCAGCTGACCCAGTGCATTGTGATTGGCCGAACACCGCAAGCACTCGTCGGAAATGTAACGCCCCTTACCATAATCGCGAGCTTCATCTTTCAAAATAAATGTAACGACAGAGCCCGAAAGGGGAACAGAGTCGCGTGACAGACACATTGATGAAGCTGGTATGTGTTTGCAGTACACAAGCCACGGTTAAGACAGCTGACTCCACTGTGATGTGACCCCCTCTCTCTCGCACATGCTCTCGCTCGCGCTCTCTCTCTTTCTCACACACACACGATGCGCAAAACTCCGCATTTGAACAGTCAACAAATACCATTCCAAAACATCCTTCGAGGATAACGATAATGATGATGGCACCTTCGCGTCGCTGCTACGGACATCCCGGCCGAAATCAGTGCTCCGCGTCCCGCTGGATACATGGACAGATTCCCCGTCGCGTCCAATATAACCGGGCATATTTTGAGCGGTGACATTCATACGCATGGAAGACTCATCTTCCATTCCCGAGCGGTCAACTTTCCATTTGTGCGAAAACACACACAGTCCGCTTTCAAACTCAAAAACTAAACACAGAGCGAGTAACTATTACACCACTTCCGGGTCCGAAATCACGAATCCTACTACGGCGAAGCCTCTGCTCATGAATATTAATTACGCCACGTTGACGTTGCGTGGTAACGTTCCAATGGTACACGACTATCTCATGAATATAAATTAGGCGCCTTTGACGTCTTGTCGTTGTCTTCCAATGGCAATCGTAGGCTTAATAAATTCAGAATCGGGCGTTATGTTCGTTTAGGCTCTATAGTTGAAAACTAGCACTGTTTATAACCTATTAAATGCTCATCTAATTATAATAGCCCCAACAATACAAATTGTGGTAGCGTTACAACTATTCGATTTTGTATAGCATGTTGTGTGTGTGTGTGTGTGTGTGTGTGTGTATATATATATATATATGTGTGTGTGTGTGTGTGTGTGTGTATATATATGTATGTGTGTTTGTGTGTGTATATATATATACACACTCTATAGAATTATATTTTTATTGGCCTTTTTTTATTTAAACAAATAAAATACATTTGTTATAAATGTAACTGAACATGACTGAAAAGTCACATTAACAATTTTTAAAAAACATTCTTAGAATCCAATCAGATCGAATATCTTTCGTAATCCTACCCTTTCCCACCCTGTCAATTTTATCCATATTAATTTAATGTGTCTAGACACTAGAGGGAGGTAGAGCGTAAATTATAAACGAATGTCAATTTGCAAGCTTTAGATTGGTTCAGCTTCGGTGCTTCACGGGCTAAGAATGTTAGAAAAAGGAATGACATAAGCAAATGCTGAGTGTGATGTTTCTTTGGAAGAGTAAAAGGTAAATTAACCCAGTAATAGGTCACTTGGGCACGTTGTACATGCTGAATCAACATTCTGCCCCACCTTGTTGATCTCCTTTAGGATAAAGAGGCCCCAGGGTCCCTGATGATATTTGCACATTCACAGCATCTTTAAGCCTTGCAAGGTCAGAAATGAAAGCTTTACACTTTATCTACAAGCAGAAAGGAAATTAAAAATAGTTGCCATTGCTAAAGATGTTAATAATGCAATACGTGTAGCATAAGTTATGTAGCATGCTAATAATTCCACTTGTTATTTATTAGTAAGCAGTGCATTCAATTCAATTCAATTTAATAATGTTTATTTGTATAGCGCCTTTTACGATACAAATCGTTGCAAAGCAGCTGTACAATATATGTTTCTACAATATATATAGTAGTATCTTATCAGTGGTGACTATGTCAGTAAATGTACATATGGCAGAAATGTACGGAAAAATCAATTAAAGATGTAATCAAACAGACTATGAACACTATTAACAGCAATTATTATATGTTGCAATCAAACTTATGGCAAAATGTGGTAGTTCTGTATGTTGTTTCAGGGTTGCCATCATCTGAGGTCCTCTGAGGGGTTGGCATCATCTCTTCTCAGGTGTTCTGGATCCAGACTGAAGCTTGTGTAAATCCTAGTTACCACGGGATGTCAATCCTGTGGCAAAAACAGAAAAACAAATAGAGACATAATTAGCGTAGCTGCTGTTCCAACCAAGCAAAATTGATTTGTTTAACCCAAGCTAAAGAATGTGTCTGAACCCCAAACGTTATCAGGTAGGCTATTCCAGAGTTTGGGAGCCAAATGCGAAAAAGCTCTACCTCCTTTAGTGGACTTTGCTATCCAGGGTATTACCAAAAGTCCAGAGTTTTGTGACCTGGATTGTAGCTTGGTAGAAGGCTAGTTAGGTACGCAGGAGCTAAACCATTAAGAGCCTTATAGGTAAGTAATAATATTTTGTAACTGATACAGAACTTAATAGGTAGCCAGTGCAGAGACTGTAAAATTGGAGTAATATGATCATATTTTCTTGACCTGGTAAGGACTCTAGCCACTGCATTTTTGACTACCTGTAGCTTGTTTATTGAAGATGCAGGACAACCACCTAGCAGTGCATTACAATAGTCCAGTCTAGAGGTCATGAATGCATGAACTAGCTTTTCTGTATCAGAAACAGGTAACATGTTTCGTAGCTTGGCAATGTTTCTAAGATGGAATAATGCTGTTTTTGTAACATGGGAAATATGATTTTCAAAAGACAAGTTGCTGTCTAATATAACACCCAGATTTTTTACTGTAGAGGAAGTAACTGTGCATCCGTCTAGTTGCAAATTGTAATCCAATAGATTCTGTGTAATGTTTTCTGGTCCAATAAGTAATATCTCTGTCTTATCCAAATTTAATAGGAGAAAATGATTGATCATCCAATCTTTTACATTTTTTAACACACTCTGTTAGCTTAGATAATTTAGAAGTTTCATCTGGTCTTGTTGAGATATATAGTTGAGTATCATCGGCATAACAGTGGAAACTAATCCCGTATTTTCTAATAATATTACCAAGGGGCAACATGTATACTGAAAATAGCAGAGGACCTAGGACAGATCCTTGTGGCACTCCATATTTTACTGGTGATAATTGAGATGACTCCCCGTTTAAATAAACAAAGTGGTAGCGATCGGACATGTAGGATTTAAACCATTTTAAAGCATGCCCTTGAATACCTGTATGGTTTTGTAATCAATCTATGAGTATGTCATTCTCTATGGCAGGGATCCTCAAATCTGGCCCACAAGATCCACTTTCCTGCAGAGTTTAGCTCTAACCCTAATCAAACACACCTGAGCATGCTAATCAATGTCTTCAGGATCATTAGAAAATCACAGGTAGGTGAGTTTGGTCAGGGTTGGAGCTAAACTCTGCAGCGCATTGGCCCTCCAGGGCAAGATTTGAGGAACCCTGCTCTATGGTGTCGAACGCAGCAGATCGAGATCAAGTAAAACAATGAGATGCGCCTTAGTCTGACGCAAGAAGCAAGTCATTTGTAATTTTAATAAGTGCAGTTTCTGTGCTATGCTGGGACCTGAAACCTGACTGAAATTCTTCATAGAGATAATTTTTTTGCAGGAAGGAACACAGTTGAGCAGACAACTTTTTCAAAATGTTTTGACATAAACGGAAGATTTGAAATGGGTCTGTAATTTGCCAGTTCACTAGGATCTAGTTGTGTTTTTTAAATAAGAGACTTAATAACCGCCAGCTTGAATGGTTTTGGGACGTGACCTAAAGACAACGACGAGTTAATAATATTGAGAAGCAGTGCTTCTGCTACAGGTAACAACTCTTTCAGTAATTTAGTGGGTACAGGATCTAACAGGCATGTTGTTGGTTTAGATGCAGTAATAAGTTTATTTAGCTCTTCCTGTCCTATAGTTGTAAAGCACTGCAGTTTTTCTTTGGGTGCGATGAATGAAGCTGAAGTATTAGATGCTGTAGAATCTACATTTGTTATTGTATTTCTGATGTTATCTATTTTATCAGTGAAGAAATTCATAAAGTTATTACTATTAAAGTGTGAGGGAATATTTCGATTGGGTGGCGTCTGGTGCATCTTTTTGTTTCATATAATGCAAGCACGTCTAAACACAAAATGGCTATTCTTTCCTTGAAATAACAGAAAGTGCACTGCTTCCCAAGATGGCTTTTTAAACTGAGCTTGTTTGACAAATAGTCACTGTTGTGTGGCAATTTATAAAAGCGTGACACAAACCCGTCATTAATTAATAAATCAAAATCACGGATATTAGTCATGCTTAAACATCCGTCTGTTAGGGGGCTAATTAAAAAAATTCTAAGGAGTGACCATCTGTTATTATCTGCGATGAATCAATGAGGGGTCACAATGTCACAGAACGCATTCAAGCATGCCTCACACGTGCAAAGCAACCAAATCCTGCGCTACATGGAGGCTCGTGTGAGTTGTAGAAGCAGAGCCCTGAGCTGCCTTGAGACATCTATATTCACATTTCCTGGCATTTTTAGTGCCTAAATGGTTAAAGGTTGGATGCAAAGATTAAAGAAGATTTTGCCTCTGAAAAACTCATCAGTTCAATGTCAAGAGTTTCTGGGTGGTTGCCAGGGTGTTGCTATGTAGTTGCTAAGGTATATATATATATTTTTTCGTACACTCTAAAAAATGCTGGGATAAAAAGGGACAAACCCAGCTATTGGGTTGTTTTGACCCAGCGGTTGGGTCAAAACAACCCAATAGCTGGGTTTGTCCCTTTTTAACCCAGCGCTGAGTTATATTTAACCCAGCATTTTTTAGAGTGTATGATGCTTTTTAGTTGCTGGAGTGTTCTTGGTTGTTGCTAGTGGCTTAGGATCCTACTTCAAAATGTGTTTTTTTTTCTCTCTTTTTGTGTGTGCTCATATTATCTTCTGGCAGGCTAAAATGCAGCAGCTGCATCAGATCATTAATAAAAACAATAGCACACTTCTTCTTAACAAGCTGCCTAATTTTAGGAAAGATTAAAGTCCATAGCTATCATGAATCATCACAGTGCTACTCCCAGTTAATAGTTATTATAATAATAGTTTTTTCCCCCCCCAAGTTGACGATTCCCCTCCAAACGATTATTGGAGTATGTTTTTTAAAAATTAATATGTACTTTTTTCTATTGAAAAATGTCACATTTAATTCAATGTGTTTGAATTAAATTACTGAATTTCAGATTTTTTTTTCAAAGTAACTGCTGATAAAAAGCAAAAATATTATTAATAAGCGACTGCAAAAAAAGTCTGTTGGTTAGTTCTGGGATTGGGTTGCAGAACTAATTTTAATATTAGAAAAAGTAGTAATATCACCTATAAAATAATGAATATATTACCTACTAATGGTATTAGTTGCCACATATATTAGCTTATGTATTTTTAAGCTATGATTCTCCCACGATTCTGAAAACAAAACAGACAACCAAACTAAATATGTAAGCCTAATTTACTTGAGTTTCTGACAAAATATTTTATTAATGTTATAGTAAATTAGTCTAAAAATATTTATTCATTTAAACGAATTAGCCTAATTATGTAAAAAAAATATTTTAAATAAATGAAGATAAGTGAAGACTTGTTTCATTTTGAATCTCTTGAATGAATGATTATACATAGGCTATATAAGGCTCATATGTATTTTTCTAGCCCATGT